TGTTACTTTTTATTTAGATCAGTGCAGAATTTCAAATTCTGATGAACAATTTTATAGGAGACTGTTTTCTAAAACTAGACTACACTAAATATATGAATAAATATATTTCTTTTAAAAAACACTGTGGAAAAATTGTGACAATGTTAGATTGTAATGAAAAAGTGTATTAATTTAACACATTTAGTAATCCATTTAGCAGTGTAAAAGCAGAGCATTTCCTATCTTATATTGTCATTAAAACAAATTCTGGCTTTGTGAAAAATGCATTAAAAATCAATTCTTTAGCTCAAGCTTAAAACTTCATCTACAATGCTTTAAATGTGACTAAAATGGTCATTACAATGAAAGTAATAGAAATCATACAGATATGTGATAAAATAACTTCACTCCTAGAACTTTGTAACTCACACATTTTTTTCATTATCTCATCAGTATCTGCAATTTTCAAGATTTACAAAAAGAAAATTTATCATCAACACGTACATTTTTCTTCTGGGAAATATTAATTTAAACCTCACTATAAAACACCAGAAACGAGATCTTTATACAAGACTCTCTTATTTCATAATAATAAGCTAATATTATCATTTCTCAAATTTTAATCTCTTTTTTTCTCTCAAAACCGCTGTTTTTATTATTCACAACCCTGTTCCTTTTGATACATTTCATGATATAAAATAGGGTCCATATATAAATTATAGGTGAATATATATGTACAAAAACATGATATTTTTATGTTATAGATTTTCCTGTTATTCTTGCTTTTAAATGTTTATTCATTTTTTATTTCATAAAACCATGATGAAAGAAAAAGCAGTTTTCAGAGATAAAATAATAAACATTTAATTTCTATTATCTCCATATCTTTTTATTAGTTTTATATTATTTTGATTAATTTCATTATATTCAGAAATTTTTAAAATTTCATTTTATTCTGTTTTATTTATTTTTTCCAAGCTTAAAAATAACATTTTTTGCATAATTATAAATGTAAAACAAATTATTTTCAGAATGTCCTCCTCATTAGAGGAGATTATATATGATATATCAGCAAAAAAAAAAAGCTTTTAAAAACATTTTTGTACATATAGCACTTTCAAAATCAGTCAGTCAGTTGATATGATACGAGTAGGAAGAGTGAGTGGGGAGTGGTAATTGAGAAGAAAAGCTAAGTACTCTTATGATAACCCTTGTGACAAGTATATCAATAAAAAAAAATATTCAGGGGCTGGCCAATCACAGGCCAACAAACACCATATTTACCTTTGTTAAGCATCACTGATATCACCATCAGCTTCACATCTTCATTTGTGGATGATCACAGTACAACAGTTTAAATTTATATCTTGATGTTTTTTCTTTCCCTTTCATTTTCTCCATTTCTAATGAACAAATAACATCCCAGAAAACAAAGAAAAATACAAGCATTTGCTAGAATTTAACAAAAATTATCAAAATTAAATAAAAGCAGTTTATAAACAACATTCCAAATTTGATTTTTTTTGTTTCTTTTTTAGATTATTTTTTGTTTGTTGCATGAAGAAAAAAGTAAATCCTGTAATTATTATTGCATTGCAAGAGGAGAATTAATAAATGTTCACATTTTTTTTTTCTGTAGATTTTCCTAAATGAAACTGGGGCAATGGGGAGATATTTAAAACAACTTTCATTTAACATTCTTTTTTCAACTTTAACTCTTACAAATCATGTTTTGTTCTTTCTGTGTTGCATGTGAATGGAGTTCTCACAAGAAAATGTAAGTAGTGAGATCAAAATATTGGTTTCTTTCTTTGTAATATCATCAGTTTATTTGTATCAAGTTGACTTTGAACACTTCCTTTCATAACATGAGTTATTCAGTTGTTGAAATCCCTATCAGAAGTGCTATTCTAACATCCACATATAGCATATACACAAACATCCTGAGCAACAGAGATGATAGGCATTACAAGCCTGTTCTCTCAAGAAAAATTCTTTGAAATGAAATTGCTTCTTTGTTTATTATTCATTTTATCCCTTTTTTTGATTAAGTTGAAATTTTTTTGTATGTAATTTTGTAAGCAATTTTTCTTTCGTTTCACATTTGATGTCAGTTTATATCAGTACATTATATATTCACATATAATAGCTCATACATACAAACATGCACACAAGTATTCAAGCATTCATTGTTTTTCTATATTTGATATTGACTTTAGATATCAAACCTGATAACATTGCATATATATCATTTTTTTGTTGCCCATAATATCTGAATATTTTGTATATGTTGATATATGCATAAATAGTGTATATATATATATATATATATATATATATATATATATATATATATATATATATATATATAATAATGTCAGTCCATATTCAAATTAATATATAATGTCTGTGTTTATGTAATAAGTTTTTGTTAATCCATGTAAAATCTCATACTATTGCAAGAGATGTATGTTAATAGGTACATTATATATGTATGTATGTATGAAAGAGAATATATATATATATATATATATATATATATATATATATATATGGACAATATGATGGTTATTTTTTTTATTATTATAATGAGAGTGGGCAAAGAGAAAAGAAATCCCACTGCAACAATCATTAGGTGATACGTGATAAGTAAATTCTTACTACTCAAAATAGGATAAACAAATTTTGGGTACAGATTTACTCACAGTCTGTTAACAGTCAGCAAATAACTTTCAAATCCATCTTACTTTTCCTTTTTTTTGTAGCTCCTATAATCGTAGTTGCTGTTCATTTCTTTTATCTGTCTCTCTCTCACTCTCTTATATGCTCTTTGTCCTTTCTCTAGAATGTTCATTTTGTTTCATCCTCTATTGGAAGTGCATGTTTATTGTGGAGGTGCTGAACCTTTTCTATTTATCCATTTTTTTTTTTTTTTAATTTCTGTTTATTCCTTTCATTTGGTTTGGTACTCTCAATTACATAGAATATTAAAGATTTGTATGAAATTCTCACAGGAAAGTATTTGGTAAACCAAATATAATGAGATTTCTGTATGTAACAAAATGCCAAACCATCTTTTTTTTTACCCCATTTTCTGTTTTTCATGTTTTAGCTTTATCAGGTAAAACATAAGTGTTTGCATATGTATTATGTTAGTCTACACACAAACACAAATACACACACATTCATCCATATATATATATATATATATATATATATATATATATATATATATATATATAAAAGCATGTATGTATTTTTAGTTATGTGTGCGTATATATGCATATGAAATTGCTTGTGTGTATACACGAACTGTTGGCACATAATTCTTTACTTGATTTTTTTGTTCAACAAAACAGCTCAAGTTCTTTTTAGATCTAACTCTTTCATTTTTGTCACTGTAAGCATTTCTTTCCTTTATTCTGATTCGTTTCCCCATTTCATAACTTCATTTTCATTTTCTTTTTTTTACAGCAACTCATCAACAAGTCAATTCTGTCTTTATTTTATGACAGGACTATTTTTGTTATCCAACATGTAGGCTAAATTTCTTTTGACTTCTGTCCTCAAAACCCAACAGACTTTCATTTACCTGTTGTTGATTTACTATTCTTCTTTTCTCTGTTATCTTCATTTTAATTAATAAATAGCTCACACTTTGAATCCATTAAATCCATCTGAAGTATTGTCTTCTTTTTTTTTTAATCAAATGCCTTAGTACTGTTGACGCAATCTTTTCCTCTTGCTGTAAAATAATTTTTTCACTCAATTTCACTTGTTGAGGAAAAGCTTGTTGCTATTGTTACTCTTTTCTTACACTCTTCCAAATGCTGCCATTGAAAATATTAATGAATTTAAGAGCCGCATCCCCTTCAACTAAAGCTGTTGTTGCTGATATTGTCTTCATAATTCAAATTCTTTTGTAATAAAAGTAGAAGAAAAATTTGAAAAAAAAGGAGAAAAATATTTTATCATTTGGGATATGTTTTCTGCTTCTGTCTTTTCGCAAACGCCTGAAATTTAATCAAAATCAGGTAATCTTTTATCAAATTTTTTCTTTGCTCCATTTTTTTTCAATCTGCTTAAGAAGCTTTATCTATCAAGCATTGTCTTTTCTTTCTAATTTTAGGTCCTTTCAGGCAAAAATGTGCAATTTTTTTGCTGGAAGATTTGTTTAAAGAAAAGCACATTTTCTTCAGTTTCTCAGGAATATTTCTCCTTAATTTTCAAAGATCAGATAATTTAGATATTTCATCAAAATATCTTTGCTTACATATTTCTTTTAATATTCGACACAACAACAACAAAACCCTTTTTTTTTTCTGTTTTTTTTTTGCTAGATCCAATGCTTGAAACTCCTTTGCACTAGAATTTCATATAGAACTTTGTGCAGTATCTCTGTCTCATCTGCATGGCATATCGCGAACATAGTATATGCAGTTCAACCAGTCAAACAGCCAGATGGCTTTGATTTGAAGTTTGTATATGATTAACTTCAAATTTTTAGAAAGTAATTGAAAACTGTAAGGATGTATAATTAATATAAACATCAGAACACCATAGAGATGTTAAAAGTTCAGCATTATTACATTGCTTTTTTTGTTTTTTCAAAGAAAAAGCTTCAAGATATAAAGTTTTTTTTTTAATTTTGCAGCTGTAAGATAATTATTTTTTTTTTATTTTTTATTTTTTGTTTTTTTTTTGTTTTTTTAATGATTCCATCTTTCAGTTTTCCTCCTTTCATTTTTCCTATTTTCCGATAATCTCTTCTCCAAAAGTTCATATTAAAAACAATTTTTCTGCAATATATATATATATACATACACACACACACACATATATATGTGTGTGTCTATATATATATATATATATTATATATATATATATATATATATATATATATATATATATGTGTATATATATATATATATATATATATATATATATATATATATATATATATATATATATATATATATGTATAATTATAAATCAAAGAAGTTCTTCTGTTTTGTTTAGTTTTATAATGTAGATATTTTAACAATGTTAGGGTTTTGAGCCTCTAGCTGGGGAGACATGGTCCCACCACTAGTGTTATGAGTTCTCAATGACTCTGCTTCAGATGTAGTGCTAGAAGTCGGAAGAGTAACAATGGCGGTGGTCACAGTGACTGTGTTATTTGATTTACTGTTGGTACTACCAATAGCATTGAGACTTGATCGGGATGTTCGGTTAATAGTGGGCAGGCGTATCTGGACATCGTTCAATTCTTCCTGTTCCGACTCGTGGCCTGATGATCGCGTCTGGAAAAGAAAAGTTTTTTTTTCAAATAGATCTTTTCCACAAAGAAAAAAGAAGTTATATATGCATAACATAAAATGATTTTTAGCTTATAATTAAAGTAAACATGAGATGATATCTGAAAATTAGATTTATAAAGGATTAAGTCTATAAATCTAATCATTTATTTTAAAATGATGCAATTGTACATTTTAATTCATAATGATAATGATGACCTGGAATATGATTTATTTCTAATTTTGTTTTAGCTTATTTATTTATTTTGACTAATTAAAATGCATTTCGTTTTTTGGAGGTTATTTTGGGTTATTTTGAGTCAATGTTTGGTTATTTTTGCTTTTTGTGAGTCTGTAAGAATTTCATAATTTTCGCATAACAGATGTGGAAAATAGTTTTTCTTTACAAAACTTTTTACTATAAGAAAATCTCAAAATTTCAAAATTAAAATTAAAACAAGGAAAAATTATAACAATATGTAGTTATTTATATATTTTCATGAATAATTGGCAAAAATTATATCTTTTATCAACTGACAATTTAAGTAACCAATATCTTTAAAGATATTAAATACTTGAACTTTTCAGAAAAAGATACATATTAGGTTTTTTATGGATAAAAATATCAGCTTAATTCTGTAGTAATCATGTATAAATTATTATATGTTGCAATAGCGATCTTGGAAAATTATATTTTTTCTTTTATTTTCATATTTTAAATGATTGTGACATCCACAATTTTTCAAATGTCACTCATTATAATTGACCTTTTTGCAGTTAAATTTGCAAAAATCTTGCCAATTATTAATTAATACTATATTATTGAGGTAGCTTTACATTTTAATTAATATTAAATTAATTGTATCAGCTCTTCTTATTGTGCATGTGCTTTAATATGATTTTTCTTTTCCTTCTGATGCATTTTTGATAATTGTTTAATATCGTCTTTCTTTTTTATTAAAACTAGTTAGAGATTTTATTTGAAAGCAATTTTATTTCTATTCTCTTATGATGTATCAAGTTTTTAGAATCATCTTTTTCAAGTTGAATATTATCTTTTACTAATATAATTTGATTTAATGCCCTTGATGCTAATTCATATTAAGACATTTAGAAAATTGATTTATTTAAAAAGAGTAAAGTGCTTCTAAAATATTGTTACCATACAAAAAATGAAACCAAAAAGCTTTCAACACAATCGACTTTATCCTTCTTTTACTTTATAAAAATAATAATAATCATAACTATCATTATCCTGTAATTTGATGCTATTTACCTGATTTTGAAATTATTCTCCAGGTTAAAAAGTGTTAAAAAATTTATTACATCAACATGTGAGCATAAATTTAAAATTTCAACAAAATAGATGTTTTAAGAGCAAATTCACAAAATGTTAATGCTTACCGTAGCTTGATTCACTGTCAAACTGAAGAGATTAGATAATCATGTGCACATGACAAACATGAAAAATGAGTCAGAATGAAGATAAAGAAGACCACATCATATAGCTATCCTTTCTCTTTTCTAGATCACTAATATGATAAGCTCATCACTGTTAAATACAGATTGTAATTCGATTATTTCAAATAATTTTGATAGCTCAAAGTATATATTTTGTTCAGTTGTTTTTCTCTCAGATGAATATAGATGTTATGGGCCACAATAAAATATTGTTAGTTACTAAAAGTATTCACATTTCTCCTAAAGAGGATGAAGCTAATGAATACAGATGAGATATTTCAAATGAGTTATTAGTAATCTCATTTGGAAGTGTGAATGTGTCTTGATTTGAATGGTCAACAAAAAATGTAATTTTATTTTTTTTATAAGTACCAAAACTTGTACATCAAATTTATTTTCAATACTGTAAGTAACTTAATAGTTTAGCTAGAAGGAAAGATAAAAGAATCGAATACAAATTAAAAAAAAAATAGAAAGACTTAGAATTGATCAAAATAAATATATAAAAATATCAATGAGTGAAAAGTGAAATTATTAAAGTATATGATTAAGTATGAAGATAATGGTGGTGATTTGCATCATAAGAGATTATTCTGAAATTAATAAACCATCATAAAAATTAATAAATGATTAATATGTCTTCATTATAAAATTTATTTTCTAAATTGTTTTTTTTAATCACCTTGGAATTACAGACACATTTATATTACTTTCTCTTTTCTCTCAATTTTTTTTTTTTTTTTACAAATGTTCACCCAATACAAAGCCCAAGAGCCACTCAAGGTAGAGGGTTACTGTGTGGTGTTGTATTAGCATAAGAAAGGGAAGAAGTGGAGTTCCTGGGATTATGTTGGAAAGACAATGACCAACTCTAGACTTGAAAAGGTTAAGATTGAATTAGTGAATAACATTTCAGAGTTCAGTCAGATATGTTAGAAGTAATAGTGTGGAAGTAGACTTTGGAAGGAATCGGGAACCTAATCTGGAGTGTGATCCAGACAATAGGCAAACCTAAATTTTGCATTTAAACTGTTTGTCAAATTCATTAACATACTGACTTTACATTCTGTTATATTCTTTTCCTTTATATATTATTTTCCTGTTTACAAGGCTTTTTTAGGATCATATGAAGTTTGTGTATATTTGACATTAAATTATAAAATACTGGATAGAGATGAAATTTCTGTGGCATCCATCAGTTTTGAGAAGCTATGTATTAGCGCCCAAACTTTTATGGCCATTCCAGGGCACAGACCCAAGCAGGATTTTGTATGAGAGATCAGTAGTTACCCATGCAGCATGTTTCCCCTCTTCATGCTATTGATGTTGCCCAAGGGATAAGAAGAGGCCAATACAGCTTGGCACCATTGTCATCACAAGAGTTGCCAGAATGAAATTGAACATAACAACAGACTGTCTTAGGGACTCTGGCTCCTGATTAGAATTCGGAGTTGTCCTTCGCTTAGTCTGGTTGCCAACCATGGCTACAGAGCCCAGACTGCCCTGGCCCCACAACTAATATGGATTTTCAATGACTCAAAAATTCTGTAATAGTTGAGAAAAGGTCAAATTAGTTCTTCATTCTAGTTTTGCATTATGGGAAAGTTATGATGGCACAAATCAAAAATTGGATTTGGATGCATTGAATAAAAAAAGGTCTTTGCTTTGTAAAATTTGGATACATAGTGATATTAAATTGTAATATAAAAATAATTTTAGAATTCCTGAAAGTTTCTGATTTTGTACATATAAATCTGAAAGATATACAAATATATATGTATCAAACTAATTGTAAGTAATTGGATGACAAAATGGAATAAGAAATTTTTACATTATGCATTTTGTCCCATTGAAGAAGTCTTTTGAAAAGTTTTTTCTCTTAGCTTTCACTTACTTATATATGTATCTCTTTTAAGTAATGTGATAAATCTATTTTTAAAAGTTCAAATAAAACTTTTCTTTAAATATTTTCATTGCACTCCTTCAAATCTTTACCAATTGTAGTATTTTTTACAGGGTTTTATTTTAACAAAATACAATAAAGAAAGAAATACAAGAAAGAAAAAACTATCAAAGGAAGTGGGTACTGGAAATTTTAAATTTTCTTGCTGCTAACCATGTTATATTATTAAGAGAAAAGACTAAAGCATTCTTTGATTTCATTAAATTTTTTAATCCTTTCTAGCATGTTCAAAATTTTGATTAAAAATCTTGTTTTTCTTATGTCAGCAGGTGGGCCAAAGATTAGTATAGGGATTTTTAGTGTCTTTTTTGGTGTTAAAAACACATTTTGAAAATTCATACAAAAATCAAATAATTGTTGGATTTTAATGAAATTTTCAGGACTTATTTTTAAAATCTTTTTTTTAGAAAATCTTGGTAAAAATATTTTTTAACATCTGTTACCCATCTCCACACACTTAATTTTATGAAATTTCAAGAAATGAAAATTTCACCCTTTTCATATTTATATTAGTTAAAAGCAGAACGTCTTGAAGAATTTAAATCCCCAATTTGTTTTTGGCAAGCAGAAACACCATTTTCCAAAAAATTTGCACTGGAACATAAAATAAAAAATGCAATAAAAATATGACATTATTTAAAAGTTCTTAATTGTTTATATAACTAAGATATATTAAGGACACTATTGTCTTAAGAAAATAAGTTTTTTGATGAATAATGAATTTTTACAAGAATTGTTTTCACTTTTTTAAAAATTTTAATTAGAAAAATTTATAAAGTTTTGAATATTTTAAAATTCTGTATTAATTCCAGCCTTTTAGATGATATTATTATTAAGTGAATACAATTTTTATTATTCCTAAATTGAAAAGCTTAGTACAAATCATCAAACACCTATACTTTTAAAAGAATTTTGAAATTTCCTTTATGTGTATAAACATGCCAATTTTCTATATATGGCCGACCATACACGAAATTATCAGAAAATAAGAATGATAACTATAGTAAATTTACAGCCAAAAATATGTCATATTTAATAGAATATTATTAGATCATAGAGGATATAATATTTTTAAGATTACTGAGTACTTAAAAATTATCTATAAAAGACACTCACATTAATTAAATTATTTTTTAATACCTAAAGCCCCCATAGAATAACATTAGATAAATATCATCATCATCAATCTGTCAAACCTGTAAATCCTTAAATAAACAGCTACTGTTGGCTTAAAAATGCATTTCTGCAATATTTTAAACTTAAATAATAGTTGTTTCAAATCAGATTAATTATACTTTAAATCAGCTAATATTCCTCAAATAATGTTTCAGAAAAGTATATTTTATTTTTGGAATTTTTTTTTAATTAGGAGAATTACATTGCATTTTAGTCAACTAAAAATGGGCGCTAATCAGCTATTTTAGCAAAAAAGAAAAAAATTCCTTCAAGTCAATTTAAATTAGTTTTAAATTAATCTTTAAAATGCAGTGAAGTATTTTGCTTATTGGAAATATTAAATTTAATCTATTAGCTTTAAATTAAAACTAAAATAAAAGCTTCAAGAAAGATTTTTCATTTTAAA